TCGAACAGACTGTTGCAAAATACGCTCGTACGCATGGCATTGGAAACATTTCGAGAGACCATTTGTCCACGGCCAGGCCATGAACTTTGAGCAATCTCGACGGCTCCAAGATTCCTTGGTTTTTCTGTATCAGTTCAATTGGCACGCAGTCCCCGAGAGAGAGAAAAAGAGGCACAAGAATTCCGCGGAGCCTGTCTGGTCACCGACGATGGCCGGAGGCCTCTTCTCGATAGATCGAGCTTTCTTCGAGCGCCTCGGCACGTACGACAGCGGGTTCGATATTTGGGGTGGCGAGAATCTCGAGCTCTCCTTCAAGACATGGATGTGCGGAGGTACGTGCAATACCAGTACAGAAATTTGCTCTCGAATTGACACGAACGAGAGCGAATAGTCTCTCGGTTCGACAAGTTACTCGCTAATTTCTGACAAATCGTTCTCTCAAATCTGAAAATAGCGCAATGTTCGCATCTTTTGTTCATTTCGATGGTAAAAATTCGCCAGGACAAGAAACTGGAAAACTCTGTATTATCTCGGGATTTCGGCATAGCGTATTCTGCATAGCGATTAATCCATTTCACACTAAACTGCTAGTGGCTGCCACTTAACTATCTCTCCAAAATCTTTTGTGAGATCACATCATTCCTATTATTCAAAAAGTGAATTTTTAGACGAAGCCTAAAAGTCCATTAACTTCAAAACAAGCTTCCAAAGAAACATTAGGAACATTAGAAAGTTAAATTTTCATTTAAAGAATTGCAAAGAAACTCAAATTTCACTCCTGTGGGGGCATAAAATCCTTTCGTCACACTAGTCTTGTTCATTTTTATTTTCCCGAAATAAACTCGCTTGCGGTTCTCTTTTCGCCGGCAGTCAGTCATTTCCGCGGGGGAATAGATTGCTAGACGAACGAACGAACGAACGAACGAAATTCAAATGGAGATTGTTGTTTCCAGGCACTTTGGAAATCGTGCCGTGCTCGCACGTGGGCCACATCTTCCGGAAGCGTTCGCCGTACAAGTGGCGCAGCGGCGTGAACGTGCTCAAGAGGAATAGCATAAGGCTGAGCGAAGTGTGGCTGGACGAGTACGCCAAGTACTACTACCAGAGGATAGGTCACGACAAGGTGAGCACTCTTGCTACTCAGCCTCGTTCTTCCGACCTTTCTTGCACCACCTGCATCTCGATTCCGCTTCGTCTTTCCGCGCCGGAATCACCCATTTCTCGCGAAAGCTCGCGGAAACTATAAAGAGATTAGAGAAATCGTTGCAATTCGCGAAATAAATTTTGATCCGTAGATTAGCAAAATAGCACGAGAAATAAAAGAAGAGAAGAAACTTACAGGTTTCCCTTCCCGAATTTCGCAGACATCTGTGATCTTAAGCGACAAATCCTCTCGTTGCCGCGAATCGTTCAACAATCCACCGAACAGGAGCAACCGAATCCGAGCAATTTCGAGCGAAATTCTTCTAACTAATCTTTCATAATCTTACCATTATGAAACGAACATTAAGCCTTTTAATCTCCAAGAATAATTCTCTCCTCTTATTACCAAGCCGTCCAACTATCATTTCCCTCATTTCTTATCAAACATCGAACAGCCGCAGACTAGATTTTCGTGGTTTAATTCTTCCCATTTTTCCATTGTCCGAACTCTCATAGTCTCGTTCAGTTCCCTAACAACTTCTCTCCAAATTCGACGATGACCTCCTAATTTCTTCTTCAAAGACTAATTCTTTGTATACCAAATTTTACTTATTTACAGCTAAAGAATAATTACAAACTATCCATGTACATCTTTCTTTAAATTTTAAGACGAAAAAACACAAAGAGATAATTATCTTAATTATTTTGATCGTGTAACAGATATTTTCAAACAATTTGCGCAAATTAAGGCTGTCTTTAAACACTCTGCAGATACGTAGAAGTCTTTTTTTTTTTCTTCATTCTCCTATGATTTTATTTTGCCAGCGACGAGGATAATCGAGTACTAGAGCGAGGCTCGTCGTGTTTTGATATTTTCTTCATTGCCCGCGATTTATCATTTATCCTCGAAACGAGATGCAAGTCGAGCCCGTTGAATAATTCAAACGTGAGTTAACTTTTGCACTTCGTCTATTTTCTTTAATTCTTCTTTCGCGCGAGACTTGTATTTTACTGGTTCAAACTGGTTGTCACGCGTGCAACGTTTGAAGAGAATTTTTTTTTTTTTTTTTTTTT